TTGAGCTTTCAAGCACTTTCCATGGTCTTACACAGAGGTAAAGGCAGCCCAACTAGGGCATGACTGTAGACAGAGGATTCGTCCTTGGCTTAGAAAACTGACTGTCGTGTTGGAGACTCAGGGATCTTCAGGCAAAATAATCTCCCCCGAGTCTTAGTGTCTTCACAGAGAAAATGAGGCATTTACAGAGCCAGTGTAGGGGAAGGCTCAGGCAAAATCTTTCCTCCCAGATTAGGAACTTTCACAAGGGTCAGGTGCTGTTGGGACTCTGCTTAGTGACACCACGATCATGGAACTGGAGAGTTCAGTGTCACACAGAGCAGCTCTCCATGCTACCTGTAGAGCTCTCAGGCTGGGAATGGCACAAGTCTTAATTCCTGCCCTTAAAGGGCCACTGGAAGGGCAGCGTGGGTGGAAGGTGGACTATCAACCCCCTGGGTGAGCTTTAGTATGATGGGCACCATAGCTGAAGGTAGAGTGATGACCACACAGTGGTCAGTGTCACACTCCAGACTTCTTCCCTCATAAATGGGGTGGAATAGATGGCCCCTGACAAGGCATGGTTGTTCAGATGCTTTGGAGCAGTGAGATGCTGTGGGCTAAGATTGCTGGTTTATGCCTTGACGCCAAACCCTGGATTGTGTATGCTTCTTTCTGTGGCCCCTGAGGAGCAGGCCATAGGGAGAAGAGAGGGAATAGGAGAGAGAAGGGGACAGATTCTCATCAATTTCCCCAGGAAGGGTATTCTTGGGTCCCAGACCAGGGTACCAGCTGCTTTTCACCTTCTGTGGATGGTGCAGGTCACAGAATGACTAGATGAGCAATAAGAACTATGATTTCAGTGCTCTGGTCTGTCATCTTCCTACCCAGCCTCCAATGTGGTCCTGTTTACTTCTCTTCTTAAACAGTTGTTAAATACTTACAGTATTGCTCCCAAAACACCAAAATTTTACTCAGAATTGGTAATGTTGCTATCAATGGTCAGAATATTGGCTTTTTAAGAGTCTGCCATATGCCACTCTGTATCAGATGCTTTATCCACTGTATTTCAGACTGGGAGAGCAACCCAGTGAGATTCATCCTCTTCCCAGTTCACATATGAAGAGACCAGAACACAGAGGGCATATTGAACTGGCTGGATACCCTGACGGGTGATTAGCCAAACCAGAATAGTCTCCTCACACAGAGTTTAAGGTCTCTGAGTTAACTTTATTTTCATACAGTCAGTCATGGAGAGGAGTGAACAGTACTTGTCCTTTGCATTGAGTCCATAAATGTCTTAGCCTATCTTTCTGCAGTCTGCTTTTAAGAAGGCCAGAGGAAAGCTGCTTCTGAGGACCCTGGCAAAGGCCTCTCTGCACCCCATGAGGACATTTAGGACCTGGTTGTTGTCAACAGTCTCTCCTTCCATCTGCTCGGGCTCTTCCATCCATTTCTTACCATCGTTTGCTTTCCCTTTACTTTGTGTTATTCATGGCTAGCCTCTGCTCTTACCCTTACACATATTCACATATTCTTATGTCTGTTGCTAATCAGGACTTCCTTTGTGCCAGGGGAAAGGACTGACTTAGAGTTTGACCCATTTTCCTCTGTCCTTATCTTATCCATCCTCCCATCTTCAAGTCTAATATCTTGTCATCTCAAGCTGGCTAGCCTAGCCCTTTCCACCAATGTTTGTAGCAGTTCTTTCTTTGTCTTAGGGACTGGTGTTTGTGTGTTTGTGTGTGTGTGTGTGTGTGTGTGTGTGTGTGTGTGTGTGTGTGTGTGTGGTGTTTTATTGTTACATTGCCTTTGAGGATTTGGAGCCAATGATTGTACCTACTGTCCTTGCTCTTCCCCATACATACTAGTGTCCCAGTGACTGTTATATAGTGATTTATGCCTTTAATGCCAGCACCTGGGAGGTAGAGAAAGGTCAGTCTCTATGCATTTAAGGGCAGCCAATTCTATACAGCCAGTTCTGGGCCAACCAGTGCTGCATAGTGAGATGCTAGGAGACCAAAAAGAGCTCTTGCTTTTCAAGTTTTCTGTATTTTGCCCAGCTGTGCATCTGATTTTTGTACCAATAATGCTATACACCTGGTTCTCCTAGAATAGACACTGGGGACAGCAAAGTCATCTGACCAGATTCATACATGGCCTGCTCATCTGCTCTGGATCTCCTGGGGATGGCACTATCCTTGGTGAATGTTGAAGAACATTTAGGTCACTCAAGTCCCTGGTGATGGCTTTGTGATGTGTCTTTGAAGTGTGCTGGTGGCTGAGTAGCAAAGGTGAAACACTTTTGCAGCTAAAGTAGGGGAAGTCAGACTCTTCCATTCCCTTACACTTTTACTCAGAATTCCCAAGGACCTTATGGCACTATGCAGTGATCAAGTTGCAGATGGGAGGTCCTCACACTTTGGCTTTGATTAGTGAGGGCTTGATGGCTCTGTTACTGTCCCAGGGGCTATGGGAGACATGGGCCTGTGAGCATGGTGGGCAAGGCTAAGAAGGGAGTATGTTCCACCATCCTCTTTTTCCTCCTCTTATGTTCTGAAGAACAGTGAAGCTGAGGGCTTCTCAGATAAGCCAGAGGAGGGGCGCAGATGGTAGCTTTCTTTCTTGAGAATTCCAGTCTTTGAGTCACAAATGGGATCTTCTCCTCATCTAAACCAACTGCATGGAAAGAATTCTCTGCACAAGCCAGACTGGCACTCGTCCACTAATTGCCTCCCACTAGACTGTAATGTATTCAGGCATCTCAATCATGTCCCAGACTCACAAGGGTCTTCATTGCCTGTTCCATTGCACACAGACTTGCTCAGATCAATATTCTTACGTAAGATGATGGGAACAGCCGTGATATTTTCTCTTCTTTTGAATCTTTTTTGTAGTATACACATTTTATATTCTGACTTTAAGGCTATTTCTGCTGCACAGCTGCTTCACCGAGGCAGACTCCCACGAGCTCTGCTCAGTCCTTGTACCGGAATATCCCTTCACGGTGTTTAGAGCCTGCGGTTGGTCCCATGATGAGGGAGGAGTGTGCTGGGAGGTTCGAAGATTCTTATTAAGCAGGTCACTCACGAAGCTATCTTCATGCACTTCTTTATTAAAAATAGCAGAGAACATGATAATACTTAAGCGCAACCACTTACAGGAACTTGGCATAAAGATGTAAGTTTTCACTTACCATTTGACATTTCTAATGTCTGTTGCATTTTCTTTTTCCATACTCAAAAGTCATCTCCTCCAATTCCATCCTGGGATGTGAATAGACCAATGCTGTATTGTTGGTGGGGTCTGCCTCGGTCCTTGTTGGACTATTTCTGGTGACTCCCATGTCCCTAGCTCTGCTCTTGAAGATGGCACTCAAACAGCACAAGGTTATGAGGAATGGCAGGACTCAGAAATAGACAAAATGATTTTTCTTTGGAATTTCAAGTATGGATATCTAGTGAAAAAAAGAGTATTCTATGTTGGACATACAGCAGAGTTAATGAATGAACACTACAATAGGGTAGATTTTTATTTATCTCAAGAGAAATAGAGTAAAGCTTTTACCCTCCCTGGAACAGATTGCATTGTGTATGGTGGGGAGTAAACCTTGACCTATGGCAAGTGGTGGACTTCAAGCCAAATAGCCATTTACTAGGAACAACATTTCCAGTAATAACAGGTCCACATCAATTGTAAGGCTTCAATGGTCTATGGTATCTGGAATAATTATTGCTTGTTCCAAGTATTTGAAAATATGATGAGAGTTTTAGATCCAGTACTTTTAATATATTGCTTTCTTTGATACACTATCGTTTTTTAACAAGTAAAATCTACTATAATCTCATTAGTTATGGGAGAGCCTGAGACACAGGGAGTTGAGTGATTCATCTAAATCACATGGCAGCATTAGCTCCAAGATGGAGCTGGAATGTTCGGAAAAGGAAATCATTTAGGCCATGGCCCTGAACAGTAATGTGGTTTTGGCCAGTCCTGCTGGTAAGATGAGGGCATTAGAGTAGGATGGACCCATCATGCACACTGTGGGCCTGCCATTGACAATTCTCCTGCCTCTCTGTCTGCTTCAGTTTGGTACAGGCATTATCTGTTGCCTCGTAGGTAGGAGGGACAATGAAGTGGAGTTTGTGTCTGTTTATAGGTAACAGGGCCCCTATCAGCTAGGGTTGGCATGTGGACTTGGGCTGCATTCTGATAGCAGGTTGGAACTACAGGATGTATTTATTTACCATTTATTCAGTTGTGATGTGGTGCGGTGAAGATGATTTAATGGACTCTGAAATCCTTGAGTATAGAAGGCAGTATGAAGGGCAAGGCCTCCTTGTGTTCCAAGATATGAGGTTAGAAGGAAGCTTGTATTCTGATTTTTTTTTAAAGTGTAGCCACTGAACTCAAATTGCATTTTATGCTGCATATATAGCTCCTATGACAACCTGTTCCTTGATTTAAAAAAAAAATATGTTCATCGTAGAAGCATTTCAAAACAAAATGATTATAAAACAATGACCTGTCATTTCTGAAAGTACACTCTACATATTTAAAAACAAGTTCCATACACTATTGTGCATACATGCCTGTAAACTTCTGAATTTGGACTTATAACCCAGATCTTATTTCTAGTGGTGAGGATGTATCTGAATGCTTTTGACCCATTTCCTGTTGTTGCATGAATTGGGTACTTTGCAATTCTTTGTTAATATATAGCACATGTGTAATTATTTTGTCACATAAATCCCCAGAAAAACAATAGCTACAAAAAACCCCCATAAAGATGGATTATTATCGTTTAAGGCTCTGGCACCCCTGTTGGATTTTTATAGGCAAATGATCAACTATTCATTATTGTGATTAGTTGGTATGGTAACACCAGGGTTTGGAGAGACCCACCCTGTTGCTACCATCGGCAGACCTGCTGCTTTTCACATGCCTGGTGTTCTGCATTATCATCAGAGTAACAGACTCCCTCCTCCCCTTTTCTTTCCTGTTGATTTTTCTTTAGCCTGATGAAGTCCTCCGATATCGATCAGGATTTGTTTACAGACAGTTACTGCAAGGTGTGCAGCGCACAGCTGATATCCGAATCCCAGCGGGTGGCCCATTATGAGGTAAGGATAGCTCTGCTCATTCAGCCACCATCGTGTGGCTATGGGACTTGAGGATACTCGCTTTTGGAGTTGGGGAGTTTTCAGAACTGTAAGCTGTGAGCCTGTGTTGTGTGAGTCAGGTCATGATGTGTTTGTTGGGAATAGGGAGTAAAGGTTGGGGACATTATTCTGAGGCCCTGGTTACCTCCCGGATTTTATTTAATTTTGTTTATTAATATTTTAATGTGTGCTTCAGCCCCTAGAGACAGACTGGGCTTCCTTCCTTCGCTCTCTCTGTGAGATAGGCATATATGTCAGATATATAAATTCCACTGTCTTCTTCCACCTGTGATGTGAAGATAGGCTTGAAGACCCTTGTTAGTCACACAGGGAAACATGCATCTCAGAGGGAGTAAAGACACTTGCTTCTCAGAGAACCTCACCTGTTGGTCAGTGACCTAAAGGTTCACCAGAATGTAGGAGTCCCCTGCCATCAGAAGGTAGAAGTCCCCTGCTATCACAATAAAGTTTTAGCCCAGATGCTCTGGAAGGGCTATTGCATGGGAGAGGCTGGTGGATGCTCTTTGGTCCTGCACTGGAAGCAGAGGATAGGAAAGGAAGGGTTGTCTTATATCCCAGGGAGGAATGAGGTGCCAGGAGTGGAGGGCAGGGAGCTGGAGATCCCAAGACACTGAGGGCAGCATCGTGTGTGCTGGTTTCCAACAGCTATGGGAGTAGGGGTTTTCAGGTGTGATGACTTGTAAGGAAGCTTAGATTACAGGGCTTAGCCAGCAACTTTTGTTTTTCATCTTATGAGTTTCATGAATGCCAGTTATTACTCTCACTCACTGAACTTCTCTGGTTCCCAGGTTTTCTGTGTACCATGGGAATAATAAGAACACACTCATACATACCCAGAAATACAGCACACTAACTCTGCCTTTTCCACAGGAGTTTGTGTTAGTGGAAATGTTTTGGAAGCTAAGTGTGTCAGGCATGCGAAATTCTTTTATTGCTGTTATCTCCTTTGCTGCCATGCTTTGATGATGGCAAACAAACAGGCTCTTTGAAGCAGCTGTGAAATCAACACCTATGGGAAACAGCCAGTACAGTTGCCCACCCCAGCATTCCACGGGGGAATGGTTCCAGAAACTCAACCCAGCAGCTACTCAAGTCCTCTGTGTGAAGTGGTGTGATATTTACAGAGAACCTATGCACGTCCTCCCGTGTCTTTCTAATAATCTCTAGATCACTAATGACACCTATACAGTGCCCATTTGCATAGATTCAGCATAGCATTAGCTTATGGCAAATTTAAACTTTGCTTTGCTTTTTGTAACTTGGTGAAACACCCCCCACCCCCCACATGCTTTTGTTTTGGAAATCATGGACCTGGAGGCTGACATGTTATTCTTTTGTCAAGAGGGAAGTGAGTGCTGGAAGCAGCTAAAAGTGAACTTGTTTATGAGGAATAAACCCATTGTTTTGGGAATGATAAACTCTCCAGTTTCTGTAGATGTTGTTTGTAAGCATATACATAACTATAAAAATACCACTAAAGAGCAGGGCAACTGTGGTGATATCTTGCTTGTACAAATAAAGCCTGTTTGAGGGTCAGAGAATGGAGTCTGCCACTAGCTAACCATAGAGGCCTACCATGGTTCTCATTTCTGTGAACCAGGATCATGTGTAGGACTAAACCGCATTGTCTTGGAGCTATGGCCAGCTAGTGGCAAGCTCCATTCTCTGACCCTCAGACAGGCTTTGCTTGTACAAGCGAGATATCAACACCAGCAATATTTCCTGCTCTGAAATTACATTCTCTACATTAGGTCTTTTATTTTAACTTGTAACCATTGTTCTCCGTATTTGAGAATAGAAAGGGTTAAGTTTATTTGATGCCTAATTCCTGAACAGTACCTGCATATTATAGGTATTTTTATTTTTAGCATTTGAGGTGGGGGGTTGGGTCTCATACCTAAACATGTTGGTGGTACTGACCAGTACTGTAGCTGAACTAGAAGGCTGATGGCAGAATATTTCAAACAATGAAACTTTTAAATAAACAAACAACAACAAAAGCCCGCCTTAGCTGCTCAACTAAAAGTATGCTTGTTTTGATCTCAGCCTCTCTTATTGATGTACTGGACTCTTGCTGTGGAATAATCTAATTGTTGATGATAGGTGTTAATTGAATATAGCATACGTGGGTTAGAAAAAAAAAAGAACAAAGCAATCAATAGCTCCTCCACAAGCAGTGCCATACATCATCTAGCAACATTAAGTCCATTTTGAATGTGGATGGACACTACTGAGTGGTGCCTTTAGCTTGTCTGCCCCTCATCTTCCTTCTATCAGAAATACCCTGTGTGTGCCTGTGTGTTCTCACTGGAGAGGTACTGAGGCAGTGCAGTGATCGAGGCAGGGCCTATGATCCCTTATGAGAGTCTCTTGACTTTCCATTTCTTGTCTTCCTGTCCCTTTGTTGGGGACACTTATGCTGGAGTGTGCCTCAGGTCACCTGAGACTATTTGAAAACTGGTGTTCTATCCATCTGTCCTTGGACTCCACACACAGCCTCTGCTGACATCACCTGTAGAGTGAGTCTCTCATTCAACTCATTGATAATGCTGTGCCTGTGACTCTCAGTGCTTTGCTTTGGTGTTTCAGTCTGACTTGCTTCTCCAGTTCGGGCTGGTAATAGCCTCAGCTTCCCTATGGGGGCACACCAGTGAGCTTCCACTGTGTATTCCTATGTGACTAGCATACTAGTGTTAGATATGGGAGGAGATTATGAACCAGTAAGAGAAATGGTCTTTGTGCCCGAAAAGCTCAGGAACTCCATGGGAAGGAAAGGTTACTGAGTCCCATGTGACTCAGACACCCACATGACAATGCTCAGTACCAGATCTGTGAGTTCCCCACTAGCTCCACAGACCTAGAGATCTGCTCTCCCACATAGACAGTGTCTGTTCTTTCATCAGTTTGGCTCCTCTGGGGCATGGTCAATCATACTCCTAAGGGTATGTCTAAAGACCTACACTCATCACAAAGACCAATTGTGGTAAAAAAAACTTACTGGCAAATATCATGATTTACCCAGATTTCAAGCATGGGTCAATTTTAGGAAGTGATAAATGATACTTGTTTCCAAAGAATGTTGAAGAGGCTGGTCTGGCTGTCTGGAGGATGCAGGCTAGGAAGGTCACCAGGGTCAGCAAATAGAGAGAATAAGGTTGGTGGTGAAAATGCTCGTGTGTGCGTACCTGTGTGCCTGTGTACATGCTACTGTACACTAGTAAGCTGGTCTCCTGAAGTAGAAGAAAAACAAACAAATGGGTTAATTGCTAATATCTGCATGCCTATTTAACCGATGAACCCTTACAGAGGGGGAAGGAAAGCCTAGCATGTTTTTAATTGACCAGACTGTTCTGGACTATACTCGAACATTTTTCTCTTTGCATATGAAGTCCTGATGTAAACACAAAACAAGGAAATGGAAGGGCACTCAGACATTCTTCTTCTTCTTCTTCTTCTTCTTCTTCTTCTTCTTCTTCTTCTTCTTCTTCTTCTTCTTCTTCTTCCTCTTTTTCTCTCCCTCTCTCTCCTCTCTCTCTTAAGCAGTAGAAATATAATTAATTGTTGTCTCTGCTAACAGAGACATGTTGTCGGAGCTAACACACTGAGCACATGCAGAAGAGAACACTTCAGAGTGAGGTGCCTAATGTTACAAAGATCAGAACTCATTTCTTGGGGGCGGGGCAGCACTGGAATGATCTCCTGTGGTTTCAAGAGGCTAAAGGATAATTTCCCACAAAGGGAAGAGTTGCATGCATGAGTAATGGGTGTGGCTCTCTGGTCTATAGGAGGATGGAGAGTTGTCCCCAGTAGATGACGCGAAATGAAGGCCAAAGCATAGAAAATCTTGCCTTCTCTTTCTCTATCCATATACCATATGCAGAATATGTAATATTCAGTATTGCTATACACATTATAATTATCATATAAATATACAATATGTATTTATTTATATTTTAGTAAATCCAAGGGAAGAAATAGTTCAGATATAGAAAGAAAGTAAGAACAATTACTGGGCAGGTCTCATATAAATGTCAGTAATAAATGTCAGCCCAATTTCTTACCTCTTTCTGTAAATCCCTGGGCATTGTTGTGGGACTGGTCTCAGCAATTGCTCTTTGCAGAATCAGTGGCTGTGTGTGATGGTTAATCATGATTGCCAATTTGATAGATATATCATGGAAGCATACTTCTTGGTATGTTCAGGAGGGTGTTTTCACAAAGGCTTAACTAAGGAAGAGCCACCTGGATGCGGGTGTAGCCTGTGGTTCTGGGATGAATAAAAGGAAAAACCAATCAAACTGGGACATCAATGGCTCTCTGCTTTTGAACTGGTGATGCAGTTTCTCTCCCACCACGGTGCCATCCGTCTATTATGGACTGTATTCCCTCATGCTGGGATGGAAAATAAACACATTCATCTCCTCTCCACAGGAATAGCCTTGGATTCTTCCTGATCAGTGGCTGGGGGCTCTGCGAGTGGACAAAACCACCAGAGGCATATGCAGTTCTTACTTTGCTGACCTGTGAATAAAACAGATGTTAATACCACCCACTCCCACTTCACTTTAGGGTAGCTGTGACAGTAATATTTCCCATCCAGGAATAGAAGGACTGGAGACAAAGGCAGTCAGTATCTTAGGGCCACCAGAAGGATAGGTACGGTTTTCTCCCTCTTAGGGGAGTAAGGGAACGTCCTAGAACAGTGTTTGACCTCCCGAGGAGGGACTTTGTTCTTTGCTGTGGCACTCACCCCCCTGAACCATTCCCTGTTGAACATCCCCCTGGACCCGCCTGAGGCAGATCTCAGGTCCTGACCTCCTGTTGCTTCCTTCCCATGGGTGATTTAAGGCTTGTACAGTGTTCTGAGATTTTTTAAAGTCAGAATCATAATTTCCTTAGTAATGCGATCCTCTCAGCAATCCAGCAGGCGTTCGTTACAG